TTTTTTTGAAAGAACTGTTATTACTTATTCACTTGTATATCAATGTAAATGTAACGACATCACATATCATTTTTACAAGTATGAAAAATAACAAAATTTAATGGTAGAAAAAGAAACAAAGAGTATTCTCCTCAATTTGTGAGTATGACTTTTGTTTTTTTTAAGGAGAGAGAAATCTTCTTATAAGAAAATATATGGCTTTTCACGCGCCTAAAATAGGTGTAGTATACTATGTGCCATATTAGTAATATATGCCTACATAGTTTGACTCGAGTTCAAGTATTTAATAGGTACAAGTTGGAGTCTCTAAATAAAGTTTTTATAAGTTTAAGGAGCCACATATGTATTAAATTTTAAATTAATTAAATATAATATATGACTAATATTTTTTCTCTAAATTGAGGTAACATGTTACTAGTGAGGTTAAACAAAAGGGAATACCATATCGTAAATAAAGTTGGGATGCATTCTTATACCCAACTTATTCTCGAACCAACTGCCTCTAAGAAAAATCATGATTTGTAAAAAAAAAAAGAAGAGAGGATAAATTTAAAATCTGTTGGTTTGTTTCTACAAGTTGAGCAGCAGAGCGTTTATCGTGGATAGTGCATTCACAATGTGATAATTAGGGGCTCTTTGGTTCAAGAATGGTAATACAGAAATTATAATATATCTCATTTTATGTAAAATAATAATGTAAAGATTGTGATAGTAAAGTTAAAACTTAGTTTTTATATACACACATGTACACAGAGATAAGTTGTAGTTAAAAAATCTCAGCATGGAAAACTGTTACGAATTCTTACTACATAATACTATTAATATATTCATTTTTATTAAAATAAAATTTTGTTTTACTTCCTAATACAAGACACCTTACTATAATGCTATTTTTAACGTTAATTTACTTGCTCTTCACTCAAGTATTCTGCATAAAATAAAATATATATAGTCCTACTTTTACCAGGTTTGAGATTGAGTCCTGAGAACGAAATTGTTTTAGAAATAAAGTTTTTGATTAGTCCGGCTCTAAAGTGGGAAACGGAATGTGAGTGGGGAATAAAAAAGAATTAAAAAAGAAAAAACAAAACATTTTTTGAAAAAAAGTAGTCATAGCCGCAGCTCTGGAATCGCTGATCCAGTCAACCACGGCAGTTTCCCCCTTTGATTGCATTGTTCGCTACTTCGATTTCCTTTCTCTTCCTCATTCACGTCCCCAAAGCAGCCATGGAACTCTCTTTCTCCAACGCTTCTTCACTTCGTTTTCTTCAAACTGATTCTGTTCCACTCCATTATTGCTCAATACCTGGATCCTTCCATACCTTTTCAAACTCATATTTGGCATCAAAATCTATTTCTCTACGGAGACCGTTGATTTGGCGGCAACCTCGTTCAGTTAGACTCAGAGCTGAAAGTGTAAGCCCTACCGAGAGCAATGGCAGTGTTGATAAACATGTCGATGACGATTTTATCATAGAGGATGTTCCTCACTTAACCGATTTTCTCCCTCATTTACCGGTAATAATATTGCGATATGAAGTTACTATTTGTTTAATTGGAGATTTCAACCACTGGCTTTTGTTGTCGATATTTGATGGAAATGTTCAAGTGTTAAATTCATCTGCAATGCTTATTATATAGAGATTAAGGAAAAACAATAAAAAGGTCTGATAAATACTTACCAAATTGTGTTTGGTTGGACTTTGCTGTATTTCAATTTTGATTTATTTATCTTTACGGAACTGCTGAAGTCGAAGTTTGAATCTGTAAGTTTAAACACATGTTTCCCTAGGAAATCTAATTCTTAGGGCATTTGTGGCAATGTGCTATATATAACTGGAGAGTACTTGTGATGGTATATTGTTATTCTGAGTTGTTAAGTTCTCGGGATATATCAGTATGATTTATCCATCTGCCTATCTCAATTTTCTAGTGATGTTCATGTCACTATGTAAAATTATCCGTCTATCTTTTTGTGGGTTTAATTGTTGCCAACCATTTTTAGCGTCTACCTCATCTATGAGAACTGTTATGCTTGTAGAGGTTATGCGTAAACAATTGTAAGAAGTGATAACAAGATGAGTATTTTGTCGAGTTACCAAACAACTAGGATTAGAATTGTCTTGGTTATTGCTAATCCACCATTTTTGTATTTCAGTCATATCCAAATCCATTGAAAAGGAGCCAAGCTTACGCTATTGTCAAGTAAGTTCTTTCTTTCTGTTAAGTTTAGAAAATTTTCAGTATTCTGTGTGTGCCTTTATCTTTGTGAGAATATTAAAAGGGCAGCTAGTGCACAAAGCATCCCGTGATCACGCAGGATCTAGGGAAGGGCTGCACCTCAAGGGTGTGATATAGATAGCGTACCTTAATGCAAGCATAGGTAGCTGCTTCCACGGCTCGAACCCGTGACCTATAGGTCACACAGAGACAACTTTACCGTTGCTCCTATGCTCCCCTTCCTTTGTGAGATTATTGTTGGTTAAAATTCTAGATGGTTTACCTTGACACAGGGAAACTTTTGTTAATCCAGAAGATGTGGTGGCAAAAAATGTATGTGGCTTTTTTATCTGTTCAGTTGCTGTTTCCTTTATGCCTACTTTAGTTTAACTACCATCATGCATGCTTGGTTTTAGATCATTGTTCAGAAGGACAGCCCCAGAGGAGTACATTTTCGGCGTGCAGGACCTCGAGAAAAGGTCTGACTTCGAATGCTAACCTAGAATATGGGTGTTTTCACATAATTTCAATCTAAAGATAATTTTGGTTTTAGGTTTTCTTTACACCAGAAGAAGTCCGTGCTTGTATTGTGACATGTGGTGGTTTATGCCCAGGAATCAATACAGTGATTCGTGA